TTTGGACATTTCGGCTCTTAAGCCCAAAACAATATTTTTCCACAATCAAGTCCTTAACTTACACTTAAATATTCTCGAAAATTTGGGATATTACACTCACCCCTCCTAAAAAGGAGTTTTGTCCCCAAAACTCAAATTGAGGACCATATCAAGTGGTGAATGGCTTCATACAATCCGAGACAAAACAATTGCCTCATCACTTTCTAGAAACAGAACACGACCTATTACGCTTCCGCTGCGCCACTCTAATATCAACCCACAGCTACACATAACAGCAGGACACTAGCTACTTAACAGGGTTTACCATGAAATGAGCTACTAGAGGCTGGGGTGACATGGGAAGCACAACGAATAAAAATAAATCCTGCCAAAGCCACAAAAGAACAATTGTGGGGTTACGCTTCGAACCCAACACAAGACGAGTTAGCAAAGAATGGCATGGATTTAAAGATGAGTACAAAACAAAATTTTGAACTCTTATCAAAGACGGATAAGCATCCAACGGATATATGGATCATAAATGAATGAACGAATGCATGGATGCCTTACAAATTCTGCCACAAAACAAGGTGAACCAATAAACAAGCTCATGTTTAACAAAGCAACTTGAATCAAGAAACAAATTTTAGCAATTAACAAGAGTTAAAAGCTAGACCCATCAAAAGACATATAAGAATCTCAAGAATTGCAACAGAATAAAATCAATGGAAAATATGAATGCTTGGAAGAATATCGGAACACAAGAGTGCAAGGTAGAATGCCTCAAAATTCAACAACAAAATGGCATTCACCAATAATCAAGATCAAATTTAACCAAGCAGTCAAAATTGAGAGACAAGAGTTAACCATGAAATAAACAATAGAATTCAAAAAATTAGGCCCACAAAAGAGATTCCAATAATGACAATCAGAACACGGATTCAAGAGCAGATATAACCAGGAGATCAAGATTTAGCACCTCAAGTACTAGAATTAATTAACAGAACAAAGCAATGACTGGGATCAAGATGCTTAGAAGATTCATGTCTTCCAATTAAAAGGGCAAACAAAAATCCAAGCAGCTAGATAAAAGAATCATTTCACTTGGAACAAAACTCTAGGGCATCAAGTATTTCAAGGACTACCCCTTTACCTCGTAGCTCATGGAGGCTACAATCTGTTTAGCCTAAACATCCTAGAGCCAAGTCAAAGCTAAGACATCCAGGATACAGAATTTAACACTTGCAAGAGACAAGAATTTAGAATACCTCATATAGGTATCTTCTGATAATCGTCACCCCTCCTAAAGAGGTGTCCATATGAACAAAATCAAAAATCAAGAAAATCAAGAAGTATATAGAAACAAGAACTAGCAGAACATGCAGGATTTGAGCAAGGGCAACATACAGAATTTGAGCAAGAGCAAGAGTCAGAACAAGAACGCTTCCAAGGACAACTCAAACTAGATTCCAAAAACAATGCAAGAGTTAATTTCAGACAAGTATCAAGATAATGAGGATTTCAATAATCATTATCCATTTCTGGATTTCAGTTTCAAGAACAAGTACAAAGCAATCTCGAGAAAGATTAAAGATGGATTTCAAGAGTTTCAAGCAATTTCCAAATATCAAGAATGTAGAGATTGGCAACAATAGAGTTTAACTTTATGACAGTTTGCCAATCTTCACAAAAATACAGTAATTTCAATTGAATAATCACTGTTCTTGATTAACTAATACAGAAAAATGAGCCACATGAAAAGACCACGAAGCTCCAAATGGAAAAAGTGAAATTTCACTATAAGACTTTCAGAAAGATAAGGAGCAACGGAATTACCAAGTTATCCAGCTCCTAAAACGCAGCTAGAAAACACACACAACACTTGCTAAAATAGCCTGAAATCTCTTACAAAGTAGAGGGTTTACCCATCCTCCACTGGTCATGTGACAAACAAAACAAATTCTCCACCAGCTATGCTGTAGAGACCAACAAGATCAATAACAAAAGTCTCTGCAACTCCCTAGATTTCACAATTGTGGCAAAAGAGCACACAAAATTCTATTCAAATAACAAGTCTAAACAAGTGCAGACTATCAAAAATGACCAAGTTTCAAAACAAGGTCTTAAGGACATAACGGGCAAGATTACTTTCACAACTTCACACAGAGTATGAAGGCAAAAAAACAAGAACAATCAGATCACCATCTCATCAAAATGGATGAGAAAATTCAGGCAACATGAATTAGAATCGTCCCTTATATAACCCCATCACTCGTCTCACCACGGGTCTAAAATCCACTGGCTAGCCAAGTCCAAAACAAATCCTAGGTATTCAATTAAACCTAGGCTCGGATATCACTAAATCTGCTCTGATGCCACTCAATCTGAAGGTGTTTAATTTAATTCTAAACTCTTAATTTAAACCAAGCTCTTAATTTCAATCTAAGCTCTAATACCACAAAATCCCCAGATATCTAATTTAACCTAAGCTCTGATACCACTAAATCTGGTATCACAAAATCTTAATTTAACCTAAGCTCTGATACCACTTTATCTGTCACGCCCCAGAACCCAAATCCGAGGCGCAACAGACGCCGTGCACTCGTGAGACGGGTCCCACAAGTGCACAAGGCTCGGAACTTATCACATC